TTTTCTGGTATAAATTTAGCAGAAAAACTCTCTTCAAATTTAAAAAAAAAAGCGTCATTTCTATATTTATCTAGAAAAATATGCCGTCATGTGAGGTGAAGTCACATGACACCATGATTTCACAATGTAACGACATTAAAATTTCCTGATCAATTTAGCGGTAGAACGTTCCTGCCATATTTAGCCGGTCAAAAGTACGTTTTAGCCCCGAGGAGATGAAATGGTGCTACCTGCGGCTCCTTGTCGTGACGCAGTAGCGATGATTACGTGACCGCCTCTGCGCTTCGTTGGTAGCAGGTAGTTTTAGGTGTATTGTTCTAAACTCATATTTAATTCGCTAACTTGAACAAGAGAAAAGGGTTCTTTTTTACCTAAGTTTATCAATGCACTTCCCGTAGAAATTAAGCTCAAGCAGCAGGACAACAGTGGCGTCGCAGCCTACGAATAGGGACCCAGCCGATCCAGTTTCGTGTTATCCTACTGACCACGATGAAGTCGGTCGTTATCGTGGGTTTGAAGGATTGTCAAGTGACTAAACCGGTAGATTCTGGAGTAGCATAATTCCCAAAGCGAGCTTTTTTATTTTTCTTTCTTTCTCAGTTTTTGGAGACAAGCATAGCAAACAGATCAATCGCGAGGACGGCCGAGCAGGCGTCGAACTAGGCATTTCGATCGCCGCGGTTTTTTCGCCGTTTGCACGCTCGGCTTTATGGACACGCAGGTAAAATAAAGTGTACTATCACAATTAAAATGAGTGCGATCACCGCTCCGCGTAGCCCGCGCAGAGCCGTATATGTAGAGAGTTTGGCCATTCGTTGGGAAGTATAGACGCTTTACACACGCGCCAAATTACAGCCGCCATTGCTGACCTTCTCTTGTCTTAGCGAAATGCCGAGCAACTGAAATGGTAGTTGACGATCCTCTGCAAAGGCCACTGCTTTAGAAAAGGACACAGTTGAATCTAATGTGGCAATAACCTGGCCTGCTATGGTAATGATGAAGTGAAATAGGCGAAATAAGAGGAAACAAAAACTGAAGGTCAGTTATGGCGGCGTCCATGCACAGCTGCTGCAAAGCGTCTATAGGAGACAAATAAGGAGGCGCCATTGGCTGAAAGCGGGCTGGGCGTGTTCCAGGGCGTCTTCAGAAATTCGAATATGACCAACCCGAAGCCGGAAATAATACCCTGGCGGTGGTCGCGAGAAACAAGCCTGATAACTGCATTAGAGTAACTCTCGATGACTGAAAATATGGTACACCTGATGTTTCAATCACGCTCATCCAAAATGATGGTGGAAGAGTACGACTAGCGGAATGATCGACATAATCCGTACGCCAAGAGCCGAGGGCCGGGAATCTGCCGCCCGAGCGGTCACACTCTGTCCGAGCAAAACAGAGTTGAGCGGCGCATTCGTTTCTTACCTCTTTCTGCATGATCAAGATCAAAACAACACGTGCACCCTATTTCCAACCACAAAGAGTTACTATACTTCACACCTACGCGCTTATTAAAACCATTTACGAACATATACCTTTGATCAGAACTGTTTCTCGCTACCACCGTTAGGGGATTCTTTTCGGCTTCTGGTTGGTCAAGAAAGCATGCCAAGCCCTCTTTCCGAGTCTGGTGCACGCCCTGGCTCTGCCCGCGCCTCCCATTGACCAAACTCTCAACATATACGACTCGGGGCCCGCGCAGAGCCGTATATAGGGAGAGTTTGGCCAGTGGGGTGTGGCGACGAGGGCGCCGGAGAGGAGAAAAGTAAACGAAAGGGAGGAGAGCGCCGAAAGAGCCAGAGAGATAGGAGGGAGCAGAGAGGAGACGACCGCCATTTTTTAGCAACGCTGTCGGAGACTGGTCGGAGAAGAGCACTGCTGAGGCTACGCGTCGTCTGCAACGGGCCGATTTCTTTTTCGCCTTCATAAAAGTTTGTGTCCTTACACCGAAAAATCTTCCTTTATTAGCTTTTTAACCCACCGAGGAATAACAGAATGTCATTTTCTTGCCAGAGCCAGCGATATAAAAGGCAATAATCGAGATTTAGATGCCGATCCCACGCATTCCGCCGGGAAAATCATCGAAGATGGCGGCCCTCTTCACTCAGCTGCGAGCAGCCGGGAGTTCACACGCATGCGCTCATGCCCCTCGCTCTGCGCCGCGTGCTGATTGGCTCGCTCGGGAGGAGAGCGTTACGGCGGCGAGATCATAGACTGACCAAACTCTCCCCATATACGGCTCAGGGCCCGCGCAGAGCCGTATATTGGGAGAGTTTGGCCAGTGGGTGTGGCGACGAAGGCGCCGGAGAGGAGAAAAGTAAATGAAAGGGAGGAGAGCGCCGAAGGAGCGAGAGAGAAAGAAGGGAGCAGAGAGGAGACGACCGCCATTTTTTAGCAACGCTGTCGGAGACTGGTCGGAGAAGAGCACTGCTGAGGCTACGCGTCGTCTGCTACGGGCCGACTTCTTTTTCGCCTGAATAAAAGTTTGTGGCCATACGCCGAAAAATCTTCATTTATTAGCTTTTTAACCCACCGAGGAATAATAGAATGTCACTTTCTTGCCAGAGCCAGCGATATAAAAGGCAATAATCGAGATTTAGATGCCGATCCCACGCGTTCCGCCGGGAGAATGATCGAAGATGGCGGCCCTCCCCACTCAGCTGGGAGCAGCCGGGAGTTCACGCGCATGCGCTCATGCCTCCCGCTCTGCGCCGCGTGCTGATTGGCTCACTCGGGAGGAGCGCGTTACGGCGGCGAGATCATAGACTGACCAAACTCTCCCCATATACGGCTCTGGGCCCGCGGTATTATCAGTGCCCCCTGGCGGCTGCTCTTTGAAGCATCAGTGCACCTTGCGGTCGAGACATATCGTCTCTAGCGACCGCCGCACCACTCTGCACTTCCGGGTCGTCTGCTAGCGAAAAAAAAAAAGCAGCGCGAAAAAAACGATGAGGACGTCTGATGTCTCTCTTCGCCCTCGACGTTCTTATCGCGCTGTTTTCCATGATGAAGGGTATCACCCTCGCTCGCACCGCGCTAGCTTCTTGCCTATGCGCATTGGTGGTGCTTTGCTCTCGCAAAAACTTACGGGAAGTAAATAATAGGCAGTCTTAGTTGATTGTTTTGACACCTCCGATAACAATATGATATTTGGTTAAAGGCGTCGGCAAAGTATCAGGTATTGTTATCGGAGTCATGAGAACAATCACCTAAAATTTCATAATAAAAAAATGACGCTAAAATTATAACCTTCTTAGAGTGGAGAGCGAAAAAATGTTCCTTCCTCTCACCCATCGTGTCGTCTGTGCGCCGAGTGGGCTGTACCTAACATCCGGCTGGCGTTCAAGCTCGGTTTAAAATCGCGTCATTTTGGAAATTTCAATTGCAGATGCGCGGATTTTTATATGAAAGTTATCGTATAATTCTGTGCTCGATAAAAAAGACTATACGGGTTCAATTGCACTGTTACATGAATGCAAATAAAGAAAAAAAAAGAAAGAAATAGGAAAGGTGTGTCAGAGTGACCAGTTTCCCCGGCGAAAAGTAAATCCGGTTGCTGTAGCTTTTTCTGCTATACAAAGTTCGTACTAGTGTAGACCTTTTGCCACAATGAGTGGAAGGCTGGAATAATGAATAAAAACGTGCTCTCCTGACGCCGTAGACGCAGTGGTTGAGGGTAGAACTGCCGGCTGACTCTACTGCTATTAAGTTAACGAAACAAAGATACGCTACTTGATCATGTACTGAAATAAACCAACAGAGCGCTAAAAACTGATTTCGGAGCAGCCATAAATGTTCTAAGAACGTGAACCACTTCACAACGGCAGCCACGAGCGAGAGTCCGGTGTTCGTTACAGCCCGCTGGTAGAGCCCAAAGAAGGAGAGCGGCAACCTCCCAGTTTGTCGTCTGCTAGCGGAATCGGGCGCGCGCGTGCCCTCTCTCTCTCGTTTTACCCCGCCGAGCCATGCTGAACCTCCCGGATGTGTAGAGAGGGCGCTGCGGTCGAACGAAATGGCGCCGCTCTGAAAGCTTAATATCTTTCACCCTTCACCATCCATTGCCCTCTCGTCCCGTCCCGCCTTTGTAGTGCTCGCCTTCTCTCTTCTTGCCTCGCGTTGCCTTCGCCTGTACTGCACACTAGTGATACGAAGTATAGCGGTTGAAGCCTGACGCCAAAGCTTTAGAACGAAGCGTTATTTTATACAAAACGTTATAAGTTATGATTTTTCTTAAATTTTAATGCGGAACTGGACTTCGTTTTCGCCCGTTTTCGATAACTGCCGCCATTCAGCTCCATGTAGAGAGAGCTCCGTCGGCGAAATTATGCAACTTTTAAATGAGATAACGGTTAGTTCTGAAACTTTGGCATGTGGTTCGGACCTCTAGCGCTATATTTTGGTGGAGAATGAGCGTTCGGGGAAGCGTAGTTCATTTCTGCGATAAAAAACAACAACAACAAAAAACACTGAAAAAATGTTTGGGACACCCTGTACATAGATTACAGGTGACGCACATCAAAGACTGAGTTGCGACAAGGAACCGGCTCTAACAAAATAGAAATGGACAGGAAAATAAATTGGGTGAAAATGGTTATTCGAATTATTAAGGATGTCCAACTGGTAAAAAACAATAAATATATGAAATTCCCAAAATCCCGTAAAGTTATAAATAACCCAATTAGTCATATCAATCTTTACAGGTGCTCTACAGACATATATATAAAAAAAAACATATTTTTGTAAGGTCTATAGATACTGGTATAGCTTGCCTGATAGTGTTTCCAATTGCCCAAGAACTTTTTTATATGCGAAAACACTTACCTCGAATTCGCTTACCTACGTGCTTACTGTTTATTATGATAATGTGTTCTTTGTAATCTGTACCCCCTCCTCCCTTGGCCGGTAGATGGCTGGCAGTACGTAAGAAATAAAATGAGTAATTTATCGAGTTTTGTCTTGTGAATGTTTCCCCCGGATAAGCATCCAACGTTTTGCTTTTTCAGATGTGGAATCACTATGTCAGGACTGGTATCTCGATGAAACGCTGAGCCACATGTCAAAGGAATGTAAAAAGGACCTTGAAAGTCAATTTTTGAAAGAGTGCGCGAAGATTGGTGGCGTGGTAAGGATCTCATCTGCCTAGAAAGCTTGACAACTACATGCCACGTTATTAAGGCTCGTTTACACAGTTGTGTCCAGAGCGACCGCTGCGACGACGAACAAATCTTACCGGTTGGAACGAGGAGTTGCCGTGCAACGAGGCGCCGAACGGCCTTGTGATTTGCAACTCAAGAAGTTGAGCCGTGCTGAACGTTTTTGCTATGTTTGAGGAAAAACGTAGCCACCACATGGACAAACCAATCATGGGCCGAGAAGAGCTCGGCCGCACGCGTTGAATGCCGGTCGCCGTTCCTAGTATTTGCTGAAAATCATGGCATCGGTGGCAGGTTAAGTGTAAAGTCGAAGCTCCTCCAAACTCTTTCGACTTTAGCAGAGTGAACGCTGGAGGGGAGGCGACCTCCTCTCCAGAGTTGGCTCTGCTGAAGTGTGGAGCCAATTTACTCTTAACCTGCCATCGACTAGAGTATCACATCTGGTAACATTGGTTACATCTCAGCTAAATTACAGATATAATTAACATAACATTACGTGTACAATCTTATTTATTTAGAAATTTTAGACCAAAATACCGATTTATTCAGAAAATACTTTGCAGCGTAGTGCTTCCTTCTGCAAAAGGAATTACTTGTTATTCGGTCAATAATAGAAAGTTCAAGCCGGAATCGTGTTTCAGATTCAGAACAACATGATGTTACCCGTCTTTGAGGTCAACGTAAAACCTCGAGTTTCTGCACGGAAGGTAATCATCTTGGCGCTCTCCCTTTCCTACCCTGCGAGGGGAGCCAATTGGGGCAAGGTAGAAAGTGGAGAGGATATAAAAAAAGGAGGAGGATGGCAAAAGTGGAAAGCGCGAAGTGTTTGCTGATCTTTAACTAGCATGGTTCTCGGTAACATTGCCCACTTTCATTCATAGGCTTCATCGTTGTTTCGCAAACGCCTTATTTTGCAGTCTTATTCAAAATTGGGGCTCATAAAATTTGTATATTTTTAGCGTGTGCATTTCGAAGGACAGAGTGCACGAATGAACTTATGCAAATGTACATAGCCCCATCTGATCTAACTCCCGAGGTTCTGTATGAAAAGGCGCGTCAAATATTTTCTAGACTGAGAAGTGAACACATTTTGTTGTTTTTAGGGCCGCAAACGGTATTTCGGAGATGGGGACGGTTCTGTAGGTGCATCTTTGACAAAATACCTCTGACATGATTTAGGAGGCTTATGTCAAAAAGCATCGAGGTCGGCCTGCCACTTTTCGTCTTCCAGCGATGTTCTGGCTTTCCTGAAGCGCGAGCGCCTTAAAACATATAGCAAAATTCACTGCTTTTTGACAAGCCTTCTTGAATCATTTCAAGGTCTCTGTTCCATAGTTGCCGAGTTTGACGCAGAACTGATGTTAGCTTTCGCTCTAGTTTGCAGTCTAGAATAAAATTGCCAATGGGCCCGTGCACGTGGTCACAAAAACTCGTGTAGCGCAGCTCAAAATGTTCACAAAGTCACGCCTTTTGGCATAACCAGACACGAGGGTCCCCTCCTTCGACCGCTGAGCGCGCATCACTGTGCTGCCCTCTCTTTTTACGCTACAAAATCAGTCCCAGAACTTTTTGATCACCTGTATTCACAAGAATTTTAAAAATAGGAGTTACACTGTTATATTCGTGTTATTCAACTTCAGCATTGGGAATCTTTGCATCTTTGTGGCCTTTCGGATTCCATGACTTAATAAATGGAACTGTTTTTGTTACACGTACACGGCCCTTGCCGAAAATAAAAAAAAGGGGAAAAAAAGAAGAACGGAACTTTTTGTTATTTTCAGCCGAAATCTACGGCACTGCTTATTTTCCGGCCATATATATATATATATATATATATATATATATATATATATATATATATATGTTTTTTTCCTTTGTAAGTTCAGCTTAGATTGCTGTCATCATAATTGTAAACACTTACAGCTGAGGTGTGACGTCGGAGTCGCTAAGGGGCCATTTCGGAGAAGATAAACTGATTGAACGTTAATGGTGCGAGCGCGCACGGTAGAGTCCGCGTAGGCGTTTCGTATTAAGCCGAGTAAAAACCGGACAAAAATTCCACAGCGTTTTGGAGCCAATGAGTGTGTATTAAGTAGAAAGCATTTCAGCATTCTCCGTAAGAGGTGATCGAGTGTGCCTTTCGCTTATTATTTCGGTACAAATGGTCACATGAGCTGAGCAAAAATCGCCGAATAAGCATGGCCAAGGAACTAGACAAGGCTTAGTGCACTCCCAAATGAAGGTTTGTTGAAACAAACATACGCTATTAATACAATCTTTTGGCTATTCGTTCAGGTACCTGTCAGGTGCATCGACGGTGCACTAACGCTCTTCATTTCCCCTTGCTTTCTGAAACAGTTTGGGTCGTAAAATTTTAAGACATTTTTACCTGCGTATCTCCCCAGCAATGTTGTTCGTGCTAAATATATGGGTCACATGAGCACCTATCCCAGTGCACTGCCAGATTTCCAGGCGGGATTGGTTTACTGATCATGCATGTTATCCTGCTACCATGCATCACCATGCATATTATCTTGCTGGCATGATATATTTTTATCAGCAGCCCTTGATATGTTTTAGCGGTTGGCTGAAAAGAGCCTGCTTCGATATAGAGCGCGGTCGACGGTCGAAGTGTCCCACTAACAGCTAGCGCCTGTAATGTCTCTGTAATAAACAATATATGTACACCACGATGAAAACACAAGGTAGGGCTGTGGGCTAAAAGAAGCTCGAAGGACTTGAATAGACAGTTTTAGAATAACGATGCTGGTTCTTACGTACGCAGTACGCAATAGTATAGCGTACGCTAAAAACGACCTGCTCGGACTAAATTTAGTTGTGCTTAACGTTTCGAAGTGAGCACCTCGTATGATCTCGGTTAAATTTGCCAGAGCCGTACATTTACACGTGCTTATAGCGCAACCATCCTCCTCAAAAGAAATATTGAAAATGAAAACGTGTCGAATAATTTTATTTAAAATTAAATTAAACCAAGCCGCAGCTGCCTGGTCAAGCGAGCTTTTCTCCGGGGTACAGAGGCTACGAGTACGAGTGCGTAGCCAAATTTGATCACGAAGCCTCCGTCAATCATCCCGTGGAAACGGCACCATTCATCAATGCTATCGCGTAATTAAATTCATGACCTACTGATGTCCAGTGCATAGCGACAACTTGGGCGATTTCTTGAAGAGTCGTTCGTTCGTCGGCGATGAATTGTGCGAATAGGCCTAGCGTTGAGCAAATCGCAGCGTTGAAGCAAATTGCGAGAGGTGAAAATTTTCACTTTGCACTCCTTCAGCTGCATGGCGATCTGATTCGATTGCTGTAGGTCCCGCAAAAAATTGCCGAGCTGAACACCACGCAATTTCACGTAACACTGAACTTCGAAAACACCACCTCACCCTTGCTGCGCCAGTCCAGGCAACCGCCATCTTGAAACTGCTGCTCTCTTTGGGCGCGAGATCTCTCGAGAGCTTCTCGCAAAGTCCGCAAGCCCGCAACGCAAAACCTCTAACGTTGCGTGCGCACGCAATACGCTAGCCCTTCTATTGTGTTCTGCTCATGCGCACTCACGACCCACGATCTCCTTGCGTACGCAAAGCTTTAGCGTAAGGTCCACTAAAACTGTCTAATATCTCAGAATTAAAAAAATAAAGAAAAAAATCAGTAACAGCGCTTGCTGATTTGTTGAATTTGTAAAATTTAGAGGCAATAGGACGTTCCTAGGGTGGTGGCATACATGTACAAAACGCGTTACAAGGAACGAATTACTTGTAGCTAGTTACTATTTTCGGTAACGAGTAACGTATTTAGCTACTTTTTTAGAAAATGAACGAGTAATGGTATTTAGTTACTTTGAAGGCCAAGTAGCGAGTAACGGTATCTCGTTACTTTTGAGGAGTAACGTGTACAACACCGCTTAAACGGCCTTGTTTTTATTCCAGCCTGAGTATGCGTCTATTTCGACAAAGGCAGATGGGAAACTCGAAAGACAAATAAACAGTATGACAGTACGGCAACGTAAATCGCTAGACACGTCACTGGAACAGTTCGACTGACGTGTCCAGCGATAAACGTTGCTGTACTGAACTCTACAGCTGGGAATGTCCTTCACCCTGCGAGCACAATCAGGTTCATTGGTTGAACCTTGTAGAAACGGGTACGGACCCAATGTAAACCCGGAGGTTGCAAACACGGAAAGGTACACAAGCCATTACCCGCTGTCCTCAATGAAGGCGCAGTTCTCGAAGATTCACCAGCTCTTCCTGAAGCACAACACTGCCGTTCCTTCGAGCGCGTCAGTAGAACGGCTGTTCAGCGTCGCCGGAGATGTATTTTCAAGAAAGTGGGGAAACATAACTGATGAAAACTTCTACAGGAAGCTGCTGCTTAAGGGCAATGACTACTAAAAAGAACACAACAAACCATGAAACAAAAGCGGTTGTGTATTTGGTCGTCAAAGTAACCTAGAAAGTAACTCGCTACTTTTGAGGTAACTCACGCGTTCCTTTTGAGAATCGGTAACAAGTAACGTACTTAGTTACTTTTTGAGCGAGTAATGAGTAACGGTATTTAGTTACTTTTTTGTGGGTAACGTGTACATGTCTGGGTGGTGCGTACCTCGCGATTAAGGAATTAGATATTTTTTGGGTGTTAAAAAGGTTCCGAAAATGTCTAACCATGACGGTATAGATGTCCTAGTCTATAGCATTGAAATCATACACTCTTCTATAGGCGGCTACAGGAAACTTAATGATCGCTGGTGTATAGCTTTGGAGATTCTTTTAGAGCGCAGCTCTTAGGGGCCCGTTTCCAGCCTGAGTGGCGTCGGCGTCGCCGTTGGCGTCGCCGTCGGCGTCGCCGCGCCTCTCCCTCTCCTCCTCCTTTCCTCCTCCTACTTCCCCTCCTCCTCCTCCTGTCCTCCTCCTCCCCCTCCTTCTCCTCCTCCTCCCCTCATTGTGTAGTATGGTCCGGGCGGGTCACGTGACCTCGGGGGGAGGGGGTCACATGACCCGTTTCCAGCCTGTGCGGCGTCGGCGTCGGCGTCGCCCCTCCCCCTCCTCCTCCTCCCCCTCCGCTCCTTCTCCTCCCCCTCCTCCCCCGCCAAGGTCACGTGACCCCGGGGGGTGACCCCTCCCCCCGCCGGTCACGTGACGGCCCGCCCAAGGTCATGTGATCCCGTCCCCTCGAGGTCACGTGACCCCCCGGACCTCTGCCCTCCTCCTCCTCCCCTCATTGTCTAGTATGGTCCGGGGGGGGTCACGTGACCTCGGGGGGAGGGGTAAAGGAGAGGGAGGGGGAGCGGGAGGGGAAGAGGACTAGCAGGCATGATCACGAAGGAGGAGGAGGAATATACCCTCCACTCCTCCTCCTCAAGAGCTGCGCTCCAATTCGGCGTTACAGGAAGTTGTAAACGGCTTTCACTTTTTTTAAAGCTGGCTACGAACAACTAAATTTTCGCGCATCTGTAGAATTGGAGACATACACTTCTCTATAATCGGCTTCAAACAGTTGAATGGTCGCGCGTCTATTCGCGTCTCCAGCTCGATGCTCGCCCTCGCGCGGCGGAAACGGGAAGCGCTCTAGTGAGGGTCCCCCGATACTCCTGCTCAGCGGGCACGGCTGAACTGCTCGCGATCGTGGCTCGCGAAATGTCCGTTTCCGAATGCAAACAACACTCTTTCACTGTCCGAACATAGTGCTGCAGCCTGTATAGGATTATACTTTATTAGAGAGTTTTAGTATCGCGTATGGAAGCAAGCACTGTGCGTTTGCGTTAGGGTGGCGTGCTCCACGTATCGCAAGCGCGTCGTTGCCGTGCTCCGATTCGAGCCCCCGATTTTGGGCTCCACGCACGCGCAGCGTCGAACACGCAAAGCTAACGCAAACACACAGCGCTTGCTCGTATATGCAGTACTAAAACTCACTACTGTTTCACCGGCTTCCAACGCCAACGAAACGTGCTGTGAGCAGGCTTGCAACAGGTAGGCGTTCCTTCGAACTGGAAGGGCTGAGATGGGCAAAACGACGGCGCGTAAATACGAAAGTATATAAATGTTAGAAAAGATAAATAATTAAAAAAAAATTCGTTCTTTTTTTTTTTTTTTTGGGGGGGGGGGGTTTGGGGGGGAGAGGGAGGGGGAATGAGGTGTGGAAGGATATTGGTGGCGACTTTGGAAAATTTGCCGATTGTCAAAAGTCGCTACTTTGATAGAACCCTCAATTAATCTAATTTTACATGAATTTCTTACATTAGCTAGAATGTTCATTGATTTTAGACTATATTTATTTTATAACTTGGTACTTGAAAATGCTGCAATTGACACCAGTGATGATAATTAGCACACTTTAAATTGTCATACTTGTTCGCGCGTTTAAAATTAGATCATAACAACCAGTTAACTGCGAGCTTGAAAACTTGCGTATTAAAATATCTTAATTTTGATATTTAGATTATTATTAATACGAATCGCGGCAATGTATGCCCCCAATTAACGCTACCATCACAAAAATCTGCCATTTAACCATTGTCTTTCCTGAAAGGTATCATTTTGTTTTCTTTTTAACATATGAAAAACTCTGACATCGTTATCAAGATAGACAAACACTGGATGCAACATAAACTCCTATGCGTCCCGCGTTGCTTTAAAAAACATGCACACTTCAGCTGCCTAGTTGACTCGGATTTCTTCTTTTAGTTTTTTCTACTGAGAACAGCGTTCTCACTAGCATTCATGCGTTTTGTGAACATATTGTATAAATTGGATTTATCGTCTTATTCTTGTGCTGGGCAAAATTTTAAAGCAATTAATCATCGAAATACCCCAAAACCAATTGAAAGGCCCGCAGTTCATTATTTCAGATGACAATTATCTGAGTGAGAAAAGGCAGCGAGAACGCACGAATATCAGCGGATTTTTTTTTACAAATAATAATATTCTGTGTTATCTCTAAGGCGTATGAAAGAGCCGGACTTTGTGTCTTTAAAGAGACAAAAGTTTCGGCGAACAACTTCTTTAAATAAATAATTACGGTGTGAGACACATCTTGAGTTATGAAAGAATCTGATTAAAACATATACCGAGAAATTAAATCCAAGATAGAGGTTAGTTTCGGTTTCGCTCTAAAATTAAAACGTGCCTCCTGGCGTAAATATTAAGCTAAACACCGTTCTTGTTTTCAGGGTAAAGAGGTGGCCTGCGCGCATAACACCCTAGCTTCCTCGTATTACCAGAAATAATTTGTGTCGCTCAGTGAAGCCAGCACACTAGACAGGCTCAGGAGCGGCACGCATCTCCAACCCTCACTAAACCCGCCATTTTGGATAACGAGTGGCGCCACCTATAGTGAATTGGAGTCGCGAATACAATTGGAGACGTACGCTTTTCTATAGCAGGTTACAGAGAACTGAGTTTTTGCACGTCTATAGCATTGGAGTAAAGCTTCTTTATTGCTGGCTACAGACAACTGAATGGTTGCCTGTCTTTAGCTTTAGGGACGTACACTCTCCTATATATCGCTACAGACAATTCAGTAGTCGCTTCTGTAGCATCGAAGTCTTAAACCTATATATAGCCGGCTATAAATATATCAATGGTTGCATGTTTGTAGCTTTGGATCAATACAAATTTCTATAGCTGGCTAAAAAAATGGTGAGGCTACGAGTCTTTACTCTAAGTGCCACAAAATTGTCTATATCTGTCCATAGGTTTTTCTAAATCTGCCTATATCTGTCTTTTAGGTTTTTATAGCCGACTATAAAAGGCCGCACAGACGGTGATATATGAAGTTACAACTCAAAAAGGTAGGGCTAGGGAAAGGAAGGCTGGGGAGCAAGTAGCGGACGGAACGCTGGAAAGCAGATTAAGATGCCGAGAGACAGTGTTTTGTATATGATCATGCTTTTGTGCTGTTGCTTCTTACAATTCCGTTGGCTATATGAAGGTTTCGTAATGCTCGGGACCGCAAGCGCCAAATCGAAGCTCTGCTCTTTATTATTTAGGCCGAATATGTATAAGCGGTCTTGAGGGTTGCTACCTATGATTTGTTTTTGCACAAACAACAAGAGGTTGAAGGATGATGCTCCGTCGTCGCTGTTCGTGTATTGTTCACCCGCTATTCAAAAAAGTAGACATTGTACCCTGCTTGCCACGCGACATGCAGCAGCATCCGTCGTACAGTCTGCTTGGAAGAAATCAACGTAATTGAACAATATTCCTGTGCAGAGTTCCCCACAGGTGCAAAACACCTTTGTGCGAGCGGTCGTATTGGGCGTAAATCTGAAGTTGTATAAAAATTTGCCGCCCTGCCACTTTATAATGGGACGCTGTAGATACACCATCTTAATATTTTTTTTTAGATAGCCTATGGCTTTCAGTGATTTTTTACAGAAAATCAAAATAAGTAGTGTGATGCAGCCACAGCAGCCACGCTGTTCGCACTGCGCCAACAACAAACATTGCTTTTAGTTCAGCGTGGTCGAACTCTCCTTTGAATAGTCAACTTCATGAATGCTTGTTAGTTTATATTAAAGGCGGCATATATCAATAACGTAAGGCAGAAAATCAGGGCACCTTGCCCTTTTTATAATATAATTGTACAGCTGGCAACTGATCACGACGTATGTTCTTTGGTTTGAACGCGACGTCAAAAGGTTGAAACGTCAGCCTATAGTATCAGTGTTGACGTCTCTCTCATGCTGCCAGTTCTTGCTTGGCTATAAGGCACGAAGAAAAAAATAAACAGTCAGTAGATTTACTCTGAATCGTTTATGTACCGAAATTGATAGGACATAAGTTTTGATAAATTTAGAGAGGGTTTGGCGATCGTAACGCTTTTATGTCTCGCTCCTGTCCCACTTTTTGTTCTACGTTTTCAGCAAGTTACCGTCGTCAAAATTCATTATTAATCTTTAAATCGCCTTCAATCTTGCTTAAACAACCATAAAAGGAGCGTGTGAGAGGTTAATATGTTTCACAAGCTGGTCTCAATAAATTTTGTCCAGTCAACTACAGCTATTGATACTTAAATATCAGAACTGCAGAGAGGAGCTGGGTTTGTTTCCTCTCTAGCGCTATCTTCCTACCATGGATCACTCATCGGCGTCTCGGGAGCCTTGATTGTTCAGGCAGTCATTCAGTCAGTCATCCAGTCAAAATATTTATTGGGCCGAGCCGCATAAGACATGGGAAGGAAAACAGGGGGACCTTTTCGAAGGCTTCGCGGCATAATCAAGACGGTACGCGCAGACAAAAAACGACTAAAGGCACAAGTGCATGCTGAAGGCCGGGCGCTCGAGAGAGACACCCAGCTGTTTTTACCTTGTCAGTCACCATTTGACTGCGACATTAATTTAATTTTTAGGTTATCCAGTGCGCCCATTTTTTCGTAGAAGTGTGTGACATCTATTTCACCAAATGTGTCTATTTCAGTTCAAAAAGTACGAGGTTTGCAGAATTCAATGTCTGGTAACAAATGGAAAATTTGTAAGCAACAAGTACGTAATGTTGAAGAATGACCTACCTTGCGGACCATATGGAGAGGTAAGTGGTATCTGAACGGCTGTGAGCCATAGCGTTATTTAAGCAAACTTCTACAAACCAGATCTGAAAAAAGAAACCACCTTTGCTGGCGGAACGACATTAGACAAGACAATCACAAGTGATGCATACATCCCCCTCCGCAAATTGCGCAAGACAGTGTTGCAGATTTGTGGCTGCTGGCATTCGTAACCGCCAGCAGCCCCACTGAAGAATGAAACTACCATACACGTGACACTTGGGACCCATATCTCGTAATACCATATAAAATTATATGAAATAGAATATAAACTTTTTCAATGAAAAACCGTTCCTGAAATACGCAGCGGCTCCAATCATTTTGTCGACGCGCTATTGCGATCCGATCTGCGGCGCTTGATGGAGCACCCATGAAAAGAAGGTTTAGCATTCTGCGACTTCCGAACACAAAGAAAGCAGAACGCTAACAAAACAGGGCACGTATTTGCTTTGTGATCCGTTCACTTATTTTTTTCACAGCGGTAAGAAAGAAGTATTTGAGCCAAATCCAGTATATACGGAGCGTACGACCAGCCCGAACGTACATGGGAGCGCCCCAACACTCCCCGCGTCGCGGGGTGCAATATGGAATAGAGCATGAGGCCTTGTGGGATTTTCCGAAAATGTCTGTTTGATGTTTGGTGACGGTTGTTTACCATACTTTGGTCGTCAGGAGGCACATAAATGAAAGCATCGTTCTTCTACCTGTATAATGGTTTCCAAAGGACCTTTTTTAAGAAAAAAGACAATGAAGCAACACTGGCGGCCGTCATATTCAAAGAATCGCTTCCAGCGCGAAGCGTGTGAAATCCATCACGTTCACGTCGAACGCGCTTACAGCACTCCTGTCGAATAGGCACGCCCTCGAGCATGCGCCAAACGCTTACTCGTGTCTATTGCATGATCAAAGCGAGGGCCCAAAATATGGCGGCCTCGAAGAAATTACTGGAGTGCGCGCCGTTATGAAAATGAATCTATCAACTATATGTGGCGTACAGTTCTTTCTATAATGTGTATTTATTTGCGAGGTCGGTGTATAAGATTTGAAGTATTGTTTGCACTTAAAATAGCAAAGCCAATTTATAATATATAATACGACCAAATTTAGTTTTCAGTTTATTTTCAGATGAATCTCTTATATGGTATTATAAGATATGGGTCGTATTTATGCATATGCCCCTATCAGAAGGGATTGCCCTATATTGTCTTTTCAGTTTGTATAGGCAGCTAGTGTAGCCCCGATATATTGATCTACATACATATAGGCTTTACAGAATAATTTATACTCTGTGCGCTAACGCACGTGTTTGGCTTGTTCGTATTCTTCGATTTTCATTGTATGGCTAGATCGTCCCACGAATACTCTCCCCTCCTTTTTGTGGTTCTAATATTGTGTAAGTGTCAAGTTTTACAGGTTATTATGCAAGCGACGACGTCGAGATCATAACGGATGAACTCGCCGTCGGTCATGACGACCTCTCACATAAGAGTATACTTGACCATGAAATGGTGCGCACACAAAACCTTCGCGTCTGACGGGGCCCAGCCTATCGTGCACGCACGACATTACACTTCCCTTTCTCCTGTCGCGGAGGATTCTTCGGAACAGGAACAACGAAACCAAAGGTCGTTTCTCCGGCACATTTCGACGTCCCACTGAACAGCAGTCTTCGCGCGACATTTGGAACTCCTTTCCTGGTGTGAGTTACGCGAGCATTCTTTGATTGCAAGCTACACATGCGATCGAATAAGAAACAGGCAAGCCGAGGCAGAAGGACCGAGGGCAGCCTAGCGAGCCAGCCAGCCGGGCGCAACTCTACGCCGGGCGGCGTATTGAAAATTCCTCAAGAAGTAAAACCATGACGCAAATCAAGTGCCCTGGTTGGCCTACTTGAACGCCTCTTTTTCGCAAGCAGGTGCCTTAATCTACACGGCGGGACCAAGTGGGAAAGGACTATGAAGTCGCTGCCTGCTGCGATGTCCCATGCAGTCCCTTGGTCCCGCTTGGTCCCGCCGTGTAGATTGGGTGCGGAGACGCCCGAGAGCCGCTCGCGCTCTTTGGAGAAAAATGACCCGTGACAGTAAACCAGGCCTCGTAGACGGCGACACGCTACGATGGGGACGACCACCGAGGACGGCCGGCGGCAGCGGCACGATGGCTTGGGGATATTGCCAGTAAGCAAGAGTTTTGGAGGCTAAAACAACCAACGTCGCAGAAAGCAAAAAACACGTGCGGCCCGTGACAATTGGAAATTTGAGAATAACGCGCGCAATTTCGGCGCACGTTAGCACTAAACTCAGCGATTGCGTTTGCGCACACTACACAAGAAAGTTTTAGAATAGCGTTTCTCCGCCGCGACGTAAAAGTCCAGGGATCTGGCGCTTGCAACGCCTCCAAGATACTGTTACTATTTTTATTTCACGCACAAAATGCTATAACTTGACAAAAAAAAAAAAAAAAAAAAGCCTTGTTTTTTTTGTTAAAAGTAACATTGTAGCGGTCGACGGCCGTGTCCGCCTGCGTCGCCTCGGCAAGAGATGTCTCATGTACTGACCTTCGCACACCGTACCTTCGCCGAGAAATGTTCTCGCGACGCAAGCACCAAGTTGCCGGCGATCGTTGCCAAACCGAGTGCAATGTCGTCCCGTATTGAAAATCGCAGTCGCGAGGATGCCGCCGTCTTCTCATCACGAATCCTCCTTGGAGGAGCGTAAAGGCTCTTTGCGTACCCACGCGATTTTTGAAAAATAGCTTATGCTAAAATAGCACACGCAAAGCGCAAACCGTGGTTAGCGTTCGGCGCATGCGCAGTGGCGACGACGCTACTTTTTGCGTACGCAAAGCTTTAGTGTGCGCTATTCTACAACTCCCAAGTAATCGTTCGTAAATGCACGCCAACAGGGCCGTGAAAGCAAGCAAATCTCCCAGAGCACCGTCCCATCTCCGAGTCGGCGTGACTTATCGCGTGGAACACTGGCCGCTGTTAACCAGCCTCAAGCCCCCTGCTTCTCCCCCCTCTTCCCTCAACTTTGTAAATTAGAAGAACGTGTGCCGGTCGCAAAAGAAAGTCACCGCCTCCGCGTGTGTCTGGTGGCCGGTGGGCGCGCTTGTGACGTGCTTGAAAAGAGACCAACCAGGCGCCCCAGATTCGCGCCATGTTTTTCTCCGTGAGGAAATTAACTATACGCCACGGGGCGGAAGGTCAAAGGGCAATGGGACGAGTGCGAGAGTAAGATCGGGGTAGCCGAGCAGCGCGAGAGGGTGCGAGCGCGGCGAGCTTGAAAAAAGCTATAGTCGGTGACAGGAATAGAAAGAGTTCGTCGGAAACTCCCCCATCCTCTTTCCCCTTTAGCAAAGGGAACGCTAGAGAGGAGATCGCTTCCTCTTCAGCGTCCGCTTCGCTAAAATGGAAAGGGGTGGGAGAAGTTTCCCTTCAACTATTAACCCGTCACCGATGGCGCCATCCTTGTTGTGGAAATGATCGAGACACGCACCGCGCGTCACTTCTGGGAAGAACATGGCGTGTGAAATCTAGCTCAGTGCTGCGCTGTGCCCCCATGATCTCCTTAAGGGCTGCACGTTGCACGTCCCTCGTGCATCGACGCACCTTACGTTACTTTAAAAAAAAAAATTGGGTTGTGTTTATGTTTATACAGCCTAGAACTTGGTCTGCCTCGACGGGCGGCGAATTTCTCAGCTGTAGCTGAAACATGTAGGGGCTTTATTCACCGGCCATAGAAGCGTTAAAAAAACTAACAAACAGAAAGACGTTAACAAATCTCTGTAATGCGAAATTAGAGCACTGTTCTTGAGGAGGAGGAGGACGGGAGGGTACGGAGGGGAAGGTATGCCCTTCCTCCTCCTCTATACCCTCCTCTCCTCCTCCTCAGTACCCTGCTCTCTTTTCCTCCATACCCTCCCCTCCTTTCATAGTTTCCCCGAAATGTAGCTGGAAAATCTACGCCACATGACCTCAACACCAATTCAGTTTCCCCGTAAAATGTAGCGGGGAAAATGACGTCATAGGACTTCGTGTCACGTCACCCATGAACGAGTTCAGTTTCTCCCCTAGATTTAGCGAAACAATTGACGTCACGTGACCTCAACACCAATTCGATTTCCCGCTAAATTTAGCGAGGCGGTTACGCCGGCGGCGACGGCGACGCCGCTCAACGCGGAAAGGGGCGCCTAAGAGGTGCGGTCTAAAACGTGCGAAAAGAAGGTAACGGAAACAATCGATATTTCGGGCGCATGCAGTTCGTCGTCCAAGCGACTTTGGCATGGGCAAATATGGGTTCGTAGGAAAGCCTAGAATAAGAGAGCGCCCACGACCGTGATCATCTGGTTTATGTGCGTTGTGTTCTGGCTAACCTTGGCAGTGTGCCTGGTCACCAGAAAAAAAAAAATAACATTCGAATAATAATTACTGCAATTAATAGAGCTCTACTGACTTTACTAAAATTACACAAGAGAGAGCTGCTAGTAAGCGTCTCATGAAGCACGCGCGGAAAAACGAAGCTGTTTTTGTCCTTTTTGCATCGCCAATAAAGGAGGGCGGCACTGACTAATAAGCGTCCTTTTTGCCGGCCGCACCAGACATGCTGCCAGTGGCACTCTTCTTTCGCATTCACCACAGCTCAGACGTTTTTAGACGATCGCTCTGTACGACTGATTCCGAGAATCAGATTGAAGTTTGTAGTACAGGTTGAGCACAATTTGCCGCGATTCTCACCAAATTGCGGATAAATCTTTTTTGTTGCAAAAACTGTATGCAGGCGGGCTAGCGAAGGAAACACAGAGTCCCCGGCAGAGACGCGCCTGCGAAAGTGAGAGCGGTTGCAGTTGTCAGGTGCCATTTAAAATGATAATCAAGGTCATTTTAAATTTTAAATGATTACTCCGAATAAAACTCTAACTCGGGTTTAGTTTGTACATAAAAACGTGTAAACATAAAACTTAAATTTTGAAGAAATCTTTGTTTGCAATTCCTTACATCAGCCATGGTGACATGGATGTCGAATAAATGAATGTGATTGCAATGAGAGCATCGCCAAGCAGAAGTCTCATTTGTTCAAATATTTTATATATTTATGTATTAAATGCCACGCTTGAGAGCTTCCTTAAAATATGAATTTCGTTTCACTGGTACAAAACAAGAGCATTACGTTAGGGACAAAGTCTATGCACCTTTCACTGTCGAAGTTTTTGACGCACTAACTTGCGATGCGCAAGAGTGCCTTGCAAGGGCCGCGACACAGCCCCTAGCTTTCCGCTGCTGTTTAACAGAATATGAAACGAACCATAGCCGTTTAACTTTCGCGTCCTAACCCTATTTAAAATTGAGAGATATACTGTCAATTTAGCGACCGCGTAATCTGTTTTCTCCTCGATAGAAATGCAGCTATGGAGTATGCTATGGTCGATGCGACGTGCAGTTCTTCGATCAAGTAAAACCAAGAAGCGATGAAGATATTAATAAAAATAAAACAGATTTATTTTGACCACAATTCTACTAGTAGAAAACTTGCTATTGATGCTGTACAAAAATAAACAGCATTAACAAGTCCCAATAAATGTGTTTCTGTGTTCATCGTCTTCTAGTAGTGATATTGCAGGATCCACAGTCATAACAAAAAAGTGAATTTCGACAAAATCGGAGATGCTGACTAATATTTGTACTGTCTTATTTAACTTTGTAATAAATAATTAGATATATAAGCTTGTGCTGGTCTTCTCGTTTTTACAATTTTGAAAGCTACAGTCGAGTAACGCTGCCTCTGAGGATTGGTTGGAGAACTCTCGTCTTCCCTGTCATCGTAGTGGCGCGAGTTTATTTTATCACTACTGTGCATGTTAAAGACCCCATGCTGGTAATCGTACTTCATTGGTTAAATTATTTATCTAAAGCAAAGACACCCATTGAGGCTGCCTAACTTCCTGCCCGTCATATAAAGCTCAGTGTTGTCTCAAATACTGAACAAAAGCACTTGAGATAAGATAGTAATACCCATTTTGAAAACGTATTTACAGTAGTATTCAAGTTACCTTTACCATGAACTATATTGAGTAGAGTAAAATTAATTTGAGAAAGTTACTGGATTACTTTTGAAGGTACTTGGCAAGTAAGCTGTAAGCTAGTAATGTGTGGGAAAAAAGTCAAAAGGAGGTGCTCTACTTGTGATGACTTGACTAAAGATCGCATTCCGCTGTCATCTCTTTGACTTTCAAGCTGCTGCAATCGAAGTTTACTTGAAGTAATATGAATATGCAAAATAATGGGTGCCGAACGATTTTAGTGACAAAGGGGACTCACGTATACTGTAGACATGGCGCCTAGCGTGCTTTCATTTGGTGGCAGGCTCGGCTCATAATGTATTACGCAATAAGTGCTTAATATTCCTTGTCTCAATTCGGGGAACTCGACACGTAGTCCCGCATTGCAAATCCCTAACAGCCGAACTAGAAGCTGATCAGGCAGACAGTCTTACTGATGAGCACGCGAGTGAACGACAAACGTGCACGCTCAGGACAAACATCGGCTGAAGGAAAGCAGCGCCTCTGTTCCCGATAAACAACCAAAGACGAGTATTTTGTTTCTCCAGACAAGGGCGAAGAAAAAAAAAAAAACACATGTACCCTCACACTAAAAAAAACAAAAACAAAAAAAAACACGAGGCAATGTTAAAAAGTAACCGCAATTAATTTTTTTTATTTGCGTGGTAGTATAGATGTCATCAAAAGTCCTTTATTACTTTTCAACGCGGCCACCTCCTCGCTCGACACATGTGCGCCAACGCTTGATGACTGTATAGATGCCGCGGGAACAAAAAAATCTTGTGGCTAACTTCGGAGCCGAGAATGCACCGCAGCTTTCAGGTCCTCATCTGTATCAAACTTATTTACCCCCAGAGCCCCTTTGAGGGGTTCAAAGAGGTGAACATCACTGGGTGAAAGATTTGGCGAGTATTGCGAGTGCGGAGTACACTCGAACCGCAGTCCTCTGATTTTTTTCGCTGTCGTACGTGCCGTGTGGGGGCGCGCAACGCCCCACAGTTGAGCAATCCGCGACGCTTTGACCTAATAGCAGCCTTCAAGTTGTCCTCAAACAGGTTGCAGTATGATACGGTGTTCACCGTGAGTCCCTTGGGCGTGTAATGTTCAACTATTGGGCCTTTGTGGTCTCAAAAGGCCGTGCGTATTAGCTTGCCCACCGTTGGCGCTGTCTTGAACTTCTTCGGCGTTGGTGACGTTGTGTGTCGCTAGCCCTTGACTGCTCGCGTTGTGTCTGGCTGGGCGTGGTGTATTGAACATTCATCACTGGTGACAATGCGTGGGAAAAAATCACCTCCCTCGGATTTTTAGCGTCGCAATAGCGTCTTACAAGCTTCCACACGCCGCTCCTTAAGGTCCGGCATAAGTTATCTTGCTACACGCCTGGCGGCTACTTTGTGAAACTGAAGAATATCAATATTAATATGGTGCGTCGAGCCGTGACTAATATTCAATTCTTCACCCATTTTCATCGGTGGTGACACGCCGGTTCCCGTGTATAAGCCGTTCCACAGCAGAGATTGCTCCCGGCGTGGTTGAGGTGTGAGCTTGGGCGGTGTGAGGTGCATCCGTCAAACTGGACGCTCCACTTCGAAACTTTTTTTGCCACTTGTTCACGTGCCGAAGCAATATACAGGCGTCTCCGTGCTGCTTCCGTATCCTGCGATAAATATCCGCAGGATTTTCGTTATCTGCGCCCGAAAATCGGATAACGGAACGCTGCTCCTCTCTGGTCAATGCTAACAAGGAGGCGGTCATTTTGAAAGTGTTGTGGTCACGTGACATTACCCATCAAGTCCCAGGCCGGCGTGCACAGTTCTTTCCTGTGGTAGGTCAACATATATTTGCAGCGCAGCGGTCTATCACTAGATTTGATTTTCTCACTGCTAATTGCATATACTTTTTGGAATTAATTATAATTAATTCCATTTCTTGATCCAAAGTCATTTTAGGTGTTTGCATTAGAGAGAGGGTTTGAGATGGTCGACGCCTGATTCATTTTTGCATTTGGTCGTGATCGTCTGCTATTCTAACTAAAATTCAACAAGTAATGTGTTAATATTACAAAACGATTGCCACAACAAAATGTAAACAGTATAAATATACTTTTTATCTCATTCCATGCAAGTAAAAGTATGATCTTTTATTTCGGTTTTACTACTTTCTCAGACGTTTGACCTGCTACCTTGCCTGTAAGAATTCGCTCAATCAATGTATCCACAGCTGCTAGTCTTTTTTTTTTTTTTTGCTTGTTTTTTGGATTTTTTTAATTGCTACAACTGCAGTTTTTATTAGTCCTAAATAGGCGTCTCTTGTTATTGAAAGGAATCGTAGCAAGAGCGTTATTTGGAAACAGATAAAATTGTAAATGCTGGGGAAAGGATGCTTGTTTCGGCTCCGCTTGTGTGAAAGCCATACTGATGCTGTTAGCTTGGTTTCCTTTTAATGAACATGATGAAATGATTGTATTAGCGCGTTAACTTGCGTTGATCTTTTTTTTTTTTTCTTCTTCCCGGTGTTTCGATTGAACAGGTGGGACTAACAGTAAAAGCGTGTAAGGCGCAGTAGTGCAAGTGAATGATTTCCAAAAAAGGATCACAGCTAAAAAGTAAGACACGCGCCAAATACAAAAAAAAAAAAGAGAAGTCCCTAGCGCGATTTGAACTCGGAACTTTCACGCCGCGACGACAAATACCGGCGCTTTAACCTCTCGACCACAGCAGAATTTTTTTTTTATTTATTACATGGGATTTGGTTAGAAAACACAATGCACTTGAAATCACGGTACACCAAGGTTGGCGTTAGGTGTCATGTAAAGGCGTCGACATACATTCATCTAAAGTCACACCATTGTGGGGGTTTAGTTCCCCTCATAGGTTCGAGTGCGGTTTCACAACTCAACAAAGTATTCTGTATTGAATAATACGTCTAAAAATCCGGAAGATGAATGCATTGATTTAAGAGAGCATACCAGTCTGGGCGTTCACCGAGATGGTCAAATACATTTCGTACATGTGATACAGTTTCTATAAAATTCGACTTTGTTGTCCGGGGAGCATCAGCATTTCTGTCAATCATTCTCGTTTTCCAGAGACTATGCAAACCCACCAGTGTAAACAGATCATAAGGGAAGCTGTCATTCGGGTTTAAAGGTAGGAAACGGATTGTGTAGGCACTTATATTTAAATCTTTTTTCACAGTTCTTTGTAACACATCCCAGAAGAGGTAAGCATCAGTGCAAAAAATAAAACAATGTTCTATAGTTTCCGGTTGGTTACAAAGGCGGCAGTTCACTGACCACGGAACGAAAATGCCTTTTTCTTGAAGCCAAGGCTTAACCGGTAGCGTGGAAGTGTGAAGTTTAAAAAAAAAAAGGTTTTTGCAGAAGGTGACACTCGCATTTTCTTCACACGTTTAAAAACATCTTGTTCCGAACCGTTACCAAATACGCTTCGATACAAAGGTACAGGAAAAACAACGTCTATTAGATCAGCATAAATTGTTTTTCGGGGAACTTTAAATAAATACTCCAGAGAAAACCGGGTTTTAAAAAATTCAATCGCGCTAACTACCTCTCCAAGGAAACCGAAAGGACGCAATGTGCCTACTGGCACAGATGAGACTACCAAGTATAGTAAAGCTACTGAAAGTTCTGTCTGCACGTAAGTGCGCAGGAAATGATGGGATACAGTTCGGAAGAACATAAAACGAACAACCACTTGTTTTAAGAATAGGTGAATCAGCCCAAGACACCCTGTATCAATGGAGCGAAAAAGGTTGTCTCGTTGCATGGGTTCCCAAGTGGAATCCCAGACAAAAGTCGCGAAAACTCTATGGAATTTTTTTTTTTAATTTGGCCTCTCGCACAGCAAATCACCTGGAGCACGTACCAGAGTTTCGCTACAAGGAAAATGTTACATGCTTTTGCGCGTCCAAAGATTGACCACCGATTTGATTTCATTATATTGGCTTGACGTTTGATCTTTGCCGCACTCTCAGACCAGTAATGGTCACTGTTTCGAATGCAGTTCAACGGTACTCCTAAATACTGAGGAGCTACACAGCTCCACGAAATACCAGCATACTTCGAAGGTGTTGTGGCCCACTGGCCGCACCAGAAGCCAACGCATTTTGGGTTATTTACCAACGCTCCCGATGCTTCACAAAATGTCTGGGTTAAGGTAAAGACATTATCGACACTTTTCTTATCAGCACAGAACAACGCTATAGGCTCCTTGCACAGACGTCACATCGCATACTTTTGAACACCAGGAAAAAGGAGGAGAGGGAAGCTGCTTTTGTAAGAATTTTGAGTGACAGGTTAATCTTCTACAATCTTCTGGGAGGAGAATAGCGACGCCTGTGCAACTCCGTTCGGCACAAAGGAGGGTCCTGATAAGAGGAAAGCTCCTTCTTCCCCTTTTCTCTGGAGGGCATCGGAAATGACGTC